TTGTCCTTTCTCACTGTATTTAGTTTTTGAAAATTGTGTCATTTTTGTTTTTAGTTTCTTCTATAAATTTTATTTGTGTGGGAAGGTAAACAATTTATTTTGGAATTTCTATTAAAGTCATTATGTTAGTGTAAGTAAGTGTGAGTGAATTCATATTCCTCGCAGTTTTATAAGAAGTCAATGTTTTGAATCATTTAACAGGTTTATGTTTTTTGAAATGCACAGAAAATTCTAAAGTTTAGTTCATAATCTTGACCATAGATCAGTTATTATTCTTGCTTATAGATTTGTTCATAGTATTGACTATGGTTTAGTCTATTGTCGTGACTAAAGTCTTAACTATAGATCAGTCTGTAGTCTTGAATTTCGATCAGTCTATACTAAGTCTTGTAGTTTATAGACTTGACTATAGACTGATCTATAGTATTGACTATATAGTCTTGAGTATTGACCATTCTATAGTATTGACAAAAGATCGATCTATAGTCTTGACTAAGATCGATCTATAGTCTTGACTATAGATCAGTCTCTACTTAGTCTTATAGTTTATAGTCGACTATAGACTAGTCTTGTTGACAGTAGATAAGTTTATTCTCTATAGATTATAGATCAGTCTATAGCCTCGAATATTAATCAGTCTATAGACTAATTCCAGATCAGTATTTAGTGTCGAGTATAGATCAGCCTATAGATCTGTCTATAGTTTTGAATACAAATAAGTCTATAGTTTTGATCACCGATCTGTCTATTGATTTAACTCTATATCAATTTATCTATCAATATCTATCAATATTCTTTACTATAGATCGGTTTGTAGTCTTGACTATATATCAGTATATAGTCTTGACTATAGATCAGTCATAGTTATATCGGTTTGTAGTCCTGACTTATATAGTCATAGTCTATAATTTTTTTTACAAATCAGCCTATAGTCCTGACTATAGATAAGTCTATATTCCTGATTAAAGATCAGTCTTGACTATTGATCAATCTTTAGTTTTATTTTAACTATAGTCTTGATTATAGATATCTATAGTCTTGGTAGACAATAAGTAGTCTAGTATAAAGTATATTTAAATGTAAATAATAAAATTATGAGTTCAAGGGCAGTAGTTTCTAACAGCAGGGTTCCATCCGCCTGTATGTGTGTATGTGTAAGTGTATCTATGTAATGTAGAAAATATTACATTTTCTGACTTTTACATAAATTCTATTCTTTGTATTTGAAATTGTTGTTTTGTGGTTGTTGTTGTTGTTGCTTTTGTTAGTGTTATTGCTATTGTTGTGTTTTTAGTTATTTGTTGTAGTTATTGTTATTATGATTAGGAAATATTAGATTGTTATCGTCGCATCCTGTTTAGTTCGAACAGTCAATATGCTGTGTTACTTTACTGTTATACCAGTTAAGTACTTTGTTGTACTTATTCTGTTTTGTGTTACTGTTATAAACATTTATACTCACTACAATTTAATAGCTGGTATTTTAGGTTAAGTAATAAGTTGGCGTCAAACGGACAAAAATTGAGATTTTTAAAGAAATCTATAAAATTTGAGAATGTTGAGACGTCCAATTTGAACCATGTACCAAAAGTTGGCGCAATAAGATGTTTTTAAATTAGAACATTTGGGGTATATGATATCTTTGTATTGATTTTTAAGATAGTACTTTATATCCACAATGCGAAATTTCTTTGTGTTTCAAAAACTGTAGTTTAATTTTCTGCTTATATTAGCAAATACTAGAAGGGGTTTAGTAATTCCTTTCTAGCTAATAAAATATTAGTACATGTATATCTATATATGTGTATCTATATATACATATGGTTATTACTATACATTCATGAATTTCTAATATTTTATTGTTCTCTTGTTGAAATCAATTGTTGTGTATATTTGTTGTTTTTGTTCGTTGGTTAAACTTTTGAACTCTGTATTTGTCAGTTATGGCAAATTATGTTTATTATGGAATTGTTCTATATACATTTTATTTGTATAAATATTTATTATTGTTTTGACCCTTAACTACATTTAATTTATAGAATATATACTGTATGCGTATGTACATATGTATGAATGTATATTAAACACACTTAATTCAAATAATACTTAGTATAAATAAATGCACAAAATATTTAATCAATTATATTAAACAATAATTGAAGAAAGTTTAGCTAGATATTGTATATGTATGTATAATAAAATATTATATTTGTTCAATTCAGATCTTTTCCAGGATCTATATCTATCTATAGTCTAGTCTAGTCTATAGTCTAGTCTATAGTCTAGTCTATAGTCTAGTCTATAGTCTAGTCTATAGTCTAGTCTATAGTCTAGTCTATAGTCTAGTCTATAGTCTAGTCTATGTCTAGTCATAGTCTAGTCTATAGTCTAGTCTATAGTCTAGTCTATAGTCTAGTCTATAGTCTAGTCTATAGTCTAGTATAGTCTAGTCTATAGTCTAGTCTATAGTCTAGTCTATAGTCTAGTCTATAGTCTAGTCTATAGTCTAGTCTATAGTCTAGTCTATAGTCTAGTCTATGTATTGTATAGTCTAGTCTATAGTCTAGTCTATAGTCTAGTCTATAGTCTAGTCTATAGTCTAGTCTATAGTCTAGTCTATAGTCTAGTCTATAGTCTAGTCTATAGTCTAGTCTATAGTCTAGTCTATAGTCTAGTCTATAGTCTAGTCTATAGTCTAGTCTATAGTCTAGTCTATAGTCTAGTCTATAGTCTCGTCTAGTCTAGTCTATAGTCTAGTCTATAGTCTAGTCTATAGTCTAGTCTATAGTCTAGTCTATAGTCTAGTCTATAGTCTAGTCTATAGTCTAGTCTATAGTCTAGTCTATAGTCTAGTCTATAGTCTAGTCTATAGTCTAGTCTATAGTCTAGTCTATAGTCTAGTCTATAGTCTAGTCTATAGTCTAGTCTATAGTCTAGTCTATAGTCTAGTCTATAGTCTAGTCTATAGTCTAGTCTATAGTCTAGTCTATAGTCTAGTCTATAGCCTAGTATATAGTCTAGTCTACAGTCTAGTATATAGTCTAGTCTAGTCTAGTCTAGTCTATAGCCTAGTCTATAGTCTAGTCTATAGTCTAGTCTATAGTCTAGTCTATAGTCTAGTCTATAGTCTAGTCATAGTCTAGTCTATAGTCAGTCTATAGTCTAGTCTATAGTCTAGTCTATAGTCTAGTCTATAGTCTAGTCTATAGTCTAGTCTATAGTCTAGTCTATAGTCTAGTCTATAGTCTAGTCTATAGTCTTAGTCTATAGTCTAGGTCTATAGTCTAGTCTAGTAGTCTAGTCTATAGTCTAGTCTATAGTCTAGTCTATAGTCTAGTCTATAGTCTAGTCTATAGTAGTCTATAGTCTAGTCTATAGTCTAGTCTATAGTCTAGTCTATAGTCTAGTCTATAGTCTAGTCTATAGTGCTAGTCTATAGTCTAGTCCTATAGTCTAGTCTATAGTCTAGTCTATAGTCTAGTCTATAGTCTAGTCTATAGTCTAGTCTATAGTCTATGTCTATAGTCTAGTCTATAGTCTAGGTCTATAGTCTAGTCTATAGTCTAGTCTATAGTCTAGTTATAGTCTAGTCTATAGTCTAGTCTATAGTCTAGTCTATAGTCTAGTCTATAGTCTAGTCCTATAGTCTAGTCTATAGTCTAGTTATAGTCTAGTCTATAGTCTAGTCTATAGTCTAGTCTATAGTTAGTCTACTAGTCTAGTCTATAGTCTAGTCTATGTCTAGTCTATAGTCTAGTCTATAGTCTAGTCTATAGTCTAGTCATAGTCTAGTCTATAGTCTAGTCTATAGTCTAGTCTATAGTCTAGTCTATAGTCTAGTCTATAGTCTAGTCTATAGTCTAGTCTATAGTCTAGTCTATAGTCTAGTCTATAGTCTAGTCTATAGTCTAGTCTATAGTCTAGTCTATAGTCTAGTCTATAGTCTAGTCTAGACTATAGGCTAGTCTGTAGGCTAGTCTATAGTATAGCCTATAGTCTATTGTATAGTATAGTCCATTGTTTAGTCTAAATACAGTTTTTCAAATAAAAATAAACCATCGAATAATAAATATATGTATGTGATCTTGAAATTTCTCCCACTTTCTTTCATATCTCGAATTATTCACAATGAAAAATTTCATACAAATAGACGTCACTTTAGTATGTATCGAATCTCGTGTTAATGTTTGTTAATAATTAAGAATCCTTTAATATTGAATTGTTCTTAATAAACTACAAAATGAGCAGTTAAATTGCAATACCATTCAGTTTAATACAAAGAAAAGTAGACGTGATATACAAATAATTTCTGCCGTGAGGTTTTGTTTTTCGCAAGCTTTTTAAAATGCTTCTTTATTTCCTTTTAATGTCTTCTTAAACATGAAATCCATTTTATATATCAAGCGTTTAACCATTTAAGACAAACTACTTATCCGGGGCAACATTAATGTATCCTGACATCATCAGAGACTATGACGAGAAACTGATTGAAAATATTCGTTTTTGTTTTTTATACACAAAATTAATTCAATACAAATAAAATCACAGACATTACAGCAAACTTACATACAAAACTACTACATATAAACAAAAAGGACAAAAAACGAAAGATAAAAAATTAAATATTATCAACAATTTAAAATATTTTTTAAAATGAAATGTCATGGGAAATCGATTTGATTTTTCAAACGTTATTTATTATAGACCATTAAAAGTGAATGATTGAAACAGAAAATGAAATCACTTAAAATTACGAGAAAGTAAAAAAAAAATCACATTACATAGTCTCCAGATAAAGATCTCTGAATGTCTGAGTGTCTGTCTCTATGACTGTTAGTGCAATGGGGAGGGAATTCGTAACGATTGCAGATATAAAATTGAAATTGAAATGAGAATATACGAGATAATACTTGCGAAATATTCATACATACATATGTATGTATGTACGTTTGAAAGCACGATTATGCTAGTATAAGTATAAATAAATTTCATTTACTTACAAATTGATTCCATCGTATCAGCACCCAGGCCCACATGATCAATGCCAGCGACACGCTTAATGTGATTATATGAGCTGCGACGATGGCAATGATGTTTAATAAACCAAGAAATAAATATTCCATTCAACCACCCACCAACCAAGCAAACCCACAAATTGCCAGGAAAATGCATCACACCAATACCGAACAACGTTGTCACAGTAAAAATAAGCGTAGAGCCAAGTAGGCAACGCAAGTGCCAGTCCAGCGTAACCAATCAGCAAGAGCAGCAGTCATAGTAGCAGCAGCATTAACAGCATTATTTAATATCATCAGCAACATTGCAGTAAGTTGATTGTTATGCGTTCAAGATGAATCAGCAACATAAAAAATTTGCATAATGCAATTGAATATTTTTTTTTTGTTTTGAAGATTATTCATAAGAAAATTGGTTGCAGAAATTAAATGAAGATCAATGTACCATTAACAATTTTTTTCGTTGGCGTGACATGAAAATAGAAAATTTTAAACAGAATATACAAAATTAGTTTATATTATAGTAAAACGGATATCGTTATTGTGCCATTCATTCGTTGCGAATAAATAATTGCGAGATTTGACAAGACAACTAAATACTAATTGATATGATTGTTTTAAGAAATTTTGTTATTATGTAAAACGGAAATCGAAAAAATAAATTGGAAGTAAATGATTTTGACCTAGTTAAACATTTAATAAATTATTTAAATTTTACACAAACAACAAAACTGAAATGGAATCTTGATTCCAAAGGATAAATTTTCCAATTTAAGAACTGTAACTCGGGAATCAGTGTCCGTAGTTGAGTTGACTAGTTCAGTTCTAGATTAGTTCTAGTTCTAGTTCAGTTCTAGTTCAGTTCTAGTTCAGTTCTAGTTCAGTTCTAGTTCAGTTCTAGTTCAGTTTAGTTCAGTTCTAGTTCAGTTCTAGTTCAGTTCTAGTTCAGTTCTAGTTCAGTTCTAGTTCAGTTCTAGTTCAGTTCTAGTTCAGTTCTAGTTCAGTTAGTTCAGTTCTAGTTCAGTTCTAGTTCAGTTCTAGTTCAGTTCTAGTTCAGTTCTAGTTCAGTTCTAGTTCAGTTCTAGTCAGTTCTAGTTCAGTTCTAGTTCAGTTCTAGTTCAGTTCTAGTTCAGTTCTAGTTCAGTTCTAGTTCAGTTCTAGTTCAGTTCTAGTTCAGTTCTAGTTCAGTTCTAGTTCAGTTCTAGTTCAGTTCTAGTTCAGTTCTAGTTCAGTTCTAGTTCAGTTCTAGTTCAGTTCTAGTTCAGTTCTAGTTCAGTTCTAGTTCAGTTCTAGTTCAGTTCTAGTTCAGTTCTAGTTCAGTTCTAGTTCAGTTCTAGTTCAGTTCTAGTTCAGTTCTAGTTCAGTTCTAGTTCAGTTCTAGTTCAGTTCTAGTTCTTCTAGTTCAGTTCTAGTTCAGTTCTAGTTCAGTTCTAGTTCAGTTCTAGTTCAGTTCTAGTTCAGTTCTAGTTCAGTTCTAGTTCAGTTCTAGTTCAGTTCTAGTTCAGTTCTAGTTCAGTTCTAGTTCAGTTCTAGTTCAGTTCTAGTTCAGTTCTAGTTCAGTTCTAGTTCAGTTCTAGTTCAGTTCTAGTTCAGTTCGTTCAGTTCTAGTTCAGTTCTAGTTCAGTTCTAGTTCAGTTCTAGTTCAGTTCTAGTTCAGTTCTAGTTCAGTTCTAGTTCAGTTCTAGTTCTAGTTCAGTTCTAGTTCTAGTTCAGTTCTAGTTCAGTTCTAGTTCAGTTCTAGTTCAGTTCTAGTTCAGTTCTAGTTCAGTTCTAGTTCAGTTCTAGTTCAGTTCTAGTTCAGTTCTAGTTCAGTTCTAGTTCATTCTAGTTCAGTTCTAGTTCAGTTCTAGTTCAGTTCTAGTTCAGTTCTAGTTCAGTTCTAGTTCAGTTCTAGTTCAGTTCTAGTTCAGTTCTAGTTCAGTTCTAGTTCAGTTCTAGTTCAGTTCTAGTTCAGTTCTAGTTCAGTTCTAGTTCAGTTCTAGTTCAGTTCTAGTTCAGTTCTAGTTCAGTTCTAGTTCAGTTCTAGTTCAGTTCTAGTTCAGTTCTAGTTCAGTTCTAGTTCAGTTCTAGTTCTAGTTCAGTTCTAGTTCAGTTCCAGTTCAGTTCTAGTTCAGTTCTAGTTCAGTTCTAGTTCAGTTCTAGTTCAGTTCTAGTTCAGTTCTAGTTCAGTTCTAGTTCAGTTCTAGTTCAGTTCTAGTTCAGTTCTAGTTCAGTTCTAGTTTAGTCAGTTCTAGTTCAGTTCTAGTTCAGTTCTAGTTCAGTTCTAGTTCAGTTCTAGTTCAGTTCTAGTTCAGTTCTAGTTCAGTTCTAGTTCAGTTCTAGTTCAGTTCTAGTTCAGTTCTAGTTCAGTTCTAGTTCAGTTCTAGTTCAGTTCTAGTTCAGTTCTAGTTCAGTTCTAGTTCAGTTCTAGTTCAGTTCTAGTTCAGTTCTAGTTCAGTTCTAGTTCAGTTCTAGTTCAGTTCTAGTTCAGTTCTAGTTCAGTTCTAGTTCAGTTCTAGTTCAGTTCTAGTTCTGTTCTAGTTCAGTTCTAGTTCAGTTCTAGTTCAGTTCTAGTTCAGTTCTAGTTCAGTTCTAGTTCAGTTCTAGTTCAGTTCTAGTTCAGTTCTAGTTCAGTCTAGTTCAGTTCTAGTTCAGTTCTAGTTCAGTTCTAGTTCAGTTCTAGTTCAGTTCTAGTTCAGTTCTAGTTCAGTTCTAGTTCAGTTCTAGTTCAGTTCTAGTTCAGTTCTAGTTCAGTTCTAGTTCAATTCTAGTTCAGTTCAGTTCTAGTTCAGTTCTAGTTCAGTTCTAGTTCAGTTCTAGTTCAGTTCTAGTTCAGTTCTAGTTCAGTTCTAGTTCAGTTCTAGTTCAGTTCTAGTTCAGTTCTAGTTCAGTTTAGTTCAGTTCTAGTTCAGTTCTAGTTCAGTTCTAGTTCAGTTCTAGTTCAGTTCTAGTTCAGTTCTAGTTCAGTTCTAGTTCAGTTCTAGTTCAGTTCTAGTTCAGTTCTAGTCAGTTCTAGTTCAGTTCTAGTTCAGTTCTAGTTCAGTTCTAGTTCAGTTCTAGTTCAGTTCTAGTTCAGTTCTAGTTCAGTTCTAGTTCAGTTCTAGTTCAGTTCTAGTTCAGTTCTAGTTCAGTTCTAGTTCAGTTCTAGTTCAGTTCTAGTTCAGTTCTAGTTCAGTTCTAGTTCAGTTTTAGTTCAGTTGTAGTTTAGTTCTAGTTCAGTTCTAGTTCTGTTCTAAATCAGTTCTAGTTCAGTTCTAGATCAGTATATTGTAGTCTAGTATAGTCCCGTCTATCCTATAGTTTATTCTATTCACTAGTCTAAAAAGCAATAGTTTATTCTAAGTGAAGTCGTTTTAAAATTTTCATTAATTTTTTTCCATTGAATTACAAATAAAAACTGTCAAAATTCCACTGGATTCCACGTAATAACCACTCAGCGTTTTAAATAGGTAATTTGCCTTTAAAAATAGGTCATCCTTTTATTCGTCATATTGATTTGAAGCCATTAACACTTCAAAATTAATTGCACGCCCTGTATACGTCCACACACACAGTATCATTATCGTCATGACAAGAATTTCGCAATTTAATGGCTTTTACCCATATTTTTTCATTTTTATTACTTACCCACTGCATCATGTACGGTTGAGTTTTCACTACAAGAAAGAAATGCTCGAATAGAAATTAACCATAATAATGCCACCATTCTTGGCCAGCGATTGTAAATGTCATCCTGTACATTACGGCTCGAATTGCACAATTCCATAGGCGGATGAGTGAGAGAATATCACAGGTGCCTCACTAACTTCCAAAGCATCACGCATTGTACCCGTCGAAACGTGTGACAAATCCACCATCATGCCCAAACGATTCATCTCGCGTATGATTGTCTGTAAAATATATATAAAAATAGAATAGAAAAGTATGAGAAAGGATAAAAAGTAGTGAAAATGGTTGTCGATGGTCGTTGGTGGTTGGCTATATGTATTGTTTATATTCAATAGAGAAAAAAATAAAATAAAACAAAGAATAAGAGAGTTAATTACGCTTTGATTGTTTCCACACGAAGCGGTTGGTAGGAGAAGAAGTAGCAGTTGCTGAAGCAGAATTTGCTATTGTTTGACCTCGTGCATTTGAATCGTTGATGCATACAATCGCTTTTAATTATAATTGATGGTTACATTACTCAACCAAACAAACCAGAGATGAATGGTTGGTCTTTAAAAACAGAATAAAATTCATTTAAAATAAAAAATCAAACAGGAAACCATCAAATATAATTGCAGCTGTATAATGTACATATGTATGTATATTTGAATTACAAAAGGTAAAATATAGAGTTTTTTAGGGAATATTTAGAAATTATTTTTCGAAATCGTTTTTCTTATCATATTACTGCAGAAACCCCCCCATACATTTTTTGATTAGCAATTTTATATATTTAATTTGTTTGCAAAATTTAAATTTCTTATAATGTAAATTTTTTCAATAAATAAGCTACTTAAAAGTCATTATTTGTTAATAAACAGATTTTTATTATAAATCTTTTACAATTCAAAATATACAAATACTTGTAATTTGTATTGTCTTGATTTGCATTTTGTAGATTTTGAAATAAATAAATATTTATAGCTACATATGTACATACATACATTGTATATACTGACTGCATTTATTTTGGAATTTATTTTGAGTTGTTTATACTTATTCATGTAAATAACCAGTAAATAGGTATCATTTAATTGCAAAAACAAAAAAAAAAAAAAAATAACTTAATATAAATAAATCAAGTGTAATGGTAACAGAATTGATAAGTGTTTATTTGCATAATATTTTTTCATTTAAATAAAAACAATAAAAATCTTTCTAATATAATGCAAAAATTAAATATTCAAAACGACACAAAACCGAACTAGAACAGAACTAGAACAGAACTAGAACAGAACTAGAACAGAATAGAACAGAACTCGTACAGAACTAGAACAGAACTAGAACAGAACTAGAACAGAACTAGAACAGAACTAGAACAGAACTAGAACAGAACTAGAACAGAACTAGAACAGACAGAACTAGAACAGAACTAGAACAAACTAGAACAGAACTAGAACAGAACTAGAACAGAACTAGAACAGAACTAGAACAGAACTAGAACAGAACTAGAACAGAACTAGAACAGAACTAGAACAGAACTAGAACAGAACTAGAACAGAACTAGAACAGAACTAGAACAGAACTAGAACAGAACTAGAACAGAACTAGAACAGAACTAGAACAGAACTAGAACAGAACTAGAACAGAACTAGAACAGAACTAGAACAGAACGAAAGAACTAGAACAGAACTAGAACAGAACTAGAACAGAACGAGAACAAACTAGAACAGAACTAAACAGAACTAGAACAGAACTAAAACAGAACTAGATACAGACAGAACTGGAACAGTACTAGAACAGAACTGAACAGAACTAAAACAGAACTAGAACAGAACTAGAACAGAACTAGAACAGAACTAGAACAGAACTAGAACAGAACTAGAACAGAACTAGAACAGAACTAGAACAGAACTAGAACAGAACTAGAACAGAACTAGAACAGAACTAGAACAGAACTAGAACAGAACTAGAACAGAACTAGAACAGAACTAGAACAGAACTAGAACAGAACTAGAACAGAACTAGAACAGAACTAGAACAGAACTAGAACAGAACTAGAACAGAACTAGAACAGAACTAGAACAGAACTAGAACAGAACTAGAACAGAACTAGAACAGAACTAGAACAGAACTAGAACAGAACTAGAACAGAACTAGAACAGAACTAGAACAGAACTAGAACAGAACTAGAACAGAACTAGAACAAACTAGAACAGAACTAGACAGAACTAGAACTAGAACAGAACAAGAACAGAACAAGAACAGAACTGGAACAGTACTAGAACAGAACTGAACAGAACTGAACAGAACTAGAACAGAACTAGAACAGAACTAGAACAGAACTAGAACAGAACTAGAACAGAACTAGAACAGAACTAGAACAGAACTGAACAGAACTAGAACAGAACTAGAACAGAACTAGAACAGAACTAGAACAGAACTAGAACAGAACTAGAACAGAACTAGAACAGAACTAGAACAGAACTAGAACAGAACTAGAACAGAACTAGAACAGAACTAGAACAGAACTAGAAGAGAACTTGAACAGAACTAGAACAGAACTAGAACAGAACTAGAACAGAACTAGAACAGAACTAGAACAGAACTAGAACAGAACTAGAACAGAACTGAACAGTACTAGAACAGAACTGGAACAGTACTAGAACAGAACTGGAACAGAACTAGAACAGAACTAGAACAGAACTAGAACAGAACTAGAACAGAACTAGAACAGAACTAGAACAGAACTAGAACAGAACTAGAACAGAACTAGAACAGAACTAGAACGAACTAGAACAGAACTAGAACAGAACTAGAACAGAACTAGAACAGAACTAGAACAGAACTAGAACAGAACTAGAACAGAACTAGAACAGAACTAGAACAGAACTAAACAACTAGAACAGAACTAGAACAGAACTAGAACAGAACTAGAACAGAACTAGAACAGAACTAGAACAAACTAGAACAGAACTAGAACAGAACTAGAACAGAACTAGAACAGAACTAGAACAGAACTAGAACAGAACTAGAACAGAACTAGAACAGAACTAGAACAGACTAGAACAGAACTAGAACAGAACTAGAACAGAACTAGAACAGAACTAGAACAGAGATAACAGAACTAGAACAGAACTAGAACAGAACTAGAACAGAACTAGAACAGAACTAGAACAGAACTAGAACAGAACTAGAACAGAACTAGAACAGAACTAGAACAGAACTAGAACAGAACTAGAACAGAACTAGAACAACTAGAACAGAACTAGAACAGAACTAGAACAGAACTAGAACAGAACTAGAACAGAACTAGAACAGAACTAGAACAGAACTAGACAGAACTAGAACAGAACTAGAACAGAACTAGAACAGAACTAGAACAGAACTAGAACAGAACTAGAACAGAACTAGAACAGAACTAGAACAGAACTAGAACACTAGAACAGAACTCGAACAGAACTAGAACAGAACTAGAACAGAACTAGAACAGAACTAGAACAGAACTAGAACGAACTAGAACAGAACTAGAACAGAACTAGAACAGAACTAGAACAGAACTAGAACAGAACTAGAACAAACTAGAACAGAACTAGAACAGAACTAGAACAGAACTAGAACAGAACTAGAACAGAACTAGAACAGAACTAGAACAGAACTAGAACAGAACTAGAACAGAACTAGAACAGAACTAGAACAGACAGAACTAGAACAGAACTAGAACAGAGCAGATTTAGAACAGACTAGAACAGAACTAGAACAGAACTAGAACAGAACTAGAACAGAACTAGAACAGAACTAGAACAGAACTAGAACAGAACTAGAACAGAACTAGAACAGACTAGAACAGAACTAGAACAGAACTAGAACAGAACTAGAACAGAACTAGAACAGAACTAGAACAGAACTAGAACAGAACTAGAACAGAACTAGAACAGAACTAGAACAGAACTAGAACAGAACTAGAACAGAACTAGAACAGAACTAGAACAGAACTAGAACAGAACTAGAACAGAACTAGAACAGAACTAGAACAGAACTAGAACAGAACTAGAACAGAACTAGAACAGAACTAGAACAAACTAGAACAGAACTAGAACAGAACTAGAACAGAACTAGAACAGAACTAGAACAGAACTAGAACAGAACTAGAACAGAACTAGAACAGAACTAGAACAGAACTAGAACAGAACTAGAACAGAACTAGAACAGAACTAGAACAGAACTAGAACAGAACTAGAACAGAACTAGAACAGAACTAGAACAGAACTAGAACAGAACTAGAACAGAACTAGAACAGAACTAGAACAGAACTAGAACAGAACTAGAACAGAACTAGAACAGAACTAGAACAGAACTAGAACAGAACTAGAACAGAACTAGAACAGAACTAGAACAGAACGAACTAGAACAGAACTAGAACAGAACTAGAACAGAACTAGAACAGAACTAGAACAGAACTAGAACAGAACTAGAACAGAACTAGACAGAACTAGAACAGAACTAGAACAGAACTAGAACAGAACTAGAACAGAACTAGAACAGAACTAGAACAGAACTAGAACAGAACGAACAGAACTAGAACTAGAACTAGAACAGAACTAGAACAGAACTAGAACAGAACTAGAACAGAACTAGAACAGAACTAGAACAGAACTAGAACAGAACTAGAACAGAACTAGACCTAGAACAGAACTGGAACAGAACAAGAACATACCAACTTTAGGAACTGAAAGGGGTTTCATTCGGAAAGGTTGTCGTTTCATTTTTCTCCAGAAGAAACTTTCGATCGGAATGAAATCCCTGTAGTATGGCAAATGTCATTTGTTTATTTTATTAGTTAGAATAATCACACTCTCTAAGGATTATTCATACATACATAAACATAAGTATTTTGTCGCTAAAGAACTTAAAATATTTAAGATATCATTTCTATTAGTAGTCATTAAAGGTTGACCAGAAAAAGTTCATAAATATGATTAAAGGGAGTGTTTGCTTATATTTAAATATTTGACAAATTTAATTTAATAAGTATATACTATATAGAATGAATACATACATCTTAAGATATGTATATTTGTACAATGTACATATATAAATATATATACATACATATGTATGTGCATACACAACATTCATACTAAACAAATATTAATTAAAATTTGGCAAAGAAATTTGTGTATACAGTCTGAAGTTTGTATTTTTCATGTCAAAGTGCCATAATAATTTTTGCCAATATGCC